AATTGCTCATTATGTTTAATGTTTTTAAATGGCTGATAACACAATTAATCACATATTATTGTATAATGTAGTTCTCATAGGTTTTTTTTCTTTGGCCAGACATTTGTAGGACTTTCGGCAGCGGGGTCGTGCAGCCTTTCAATGGTTCAGGTTTCCATGTGCGATCAAACTGCCCGTTCACCCTCACCCGCTTTACACACAATCGGGTTCAATATGACATCACTGCAAAGAGAGACAACAGCGGGCTGCTGAACCAACTCGAGATCACCGTCAATAAAGTCAGGACGATCGTGCAGAGTGGAAGCATCATGGTGGAAAAAAAAAGGTTTGGAACCAAATCCTGATAACCAACACTACAGTAAATCTATCTCATCCTCAGACTCTGAATTTGCTTCAATTCGAATATTATAATCTCGCTAAATGATCTTATTCAGTCACAACAACTACAGAAAAAGGGCGAGACAGCGGTCATGAAATGTTTTGCCCGAAGGCATTTCAGGTCATTCACTCTAATGGCTGTCATTAAGTGAAGTTTCAGTTAAGTTAAGTTTGGCAGATTTATGCTTTCTTAATGGCATCAATGTTAGTTTATCATTAGCTTTGACTCTAGGAAAATGTGCACAATTGATTTATAACATACTATGAGAGTGTTACTGGAGGTCATCACGGTCTGCAAGGTGACTATTTAGGGAGAGTTACCAGTGTCATCATTTATTGTTTTTTATGAATCTTTCTTCCTGCATTGACACCTCTTTATGTTCATTTGTTGACAGTATTTCGCTTCCATACGACCACACCTACCAGCATATTTTTCAGTATGGTACCTACACTAAACTAAGAAGCTCACTGCTTCCTTTGTCCGTCACTTGGCACAATGTATCTGGAGGAATAGACACTGTGAGGGTGAGAGGACTCTTGATACTGTATATCTCTCTGTCTATCATATGTTTCCAGTTTAATACCGCAGAGCAATAACCTAACCCCTTGCATCTTTTCTGATGCCTTGCTATCAAGGTGGAGCTGGACCAGGAGCTGAGCATTGACATGACCGGACTGTGTGGAAAACTGAGTGTTCCAGGTATGGCAGCTAAATTAGTAGTAGATGTGTTATAATTGAATTAGCCCCATTAGTAGTACTAGTTGCAGCAGTGGATCAATTAAATTGAACAGTCATAAGCAAGTGTTATATGTATTTTGCCTTTGTTGCGTTTTATGGGATGCTACAATTACATAAAGGGTAAATCAGGGTAAAGAGTCCAGTGTAAAATTGAATGCAAACTTGGGCCTAGATGTTGATAAGTGCAGCGAAAAGGTTCTTAAAATTTCACTTTTAGCAATTTACCAAATGTGGCTGATTAAACATTGAAATGTACAGCTTTTGTTTGGTCCTGCCTTATGAATGCTCTCTTCATGAAATTAGGCAGCAAGCACCAGTTGATTGCAGAGAGCATGCTCAATGAGGACACATGTCAAACCCGAGATCCTGTCTTTGCTGTGAATACAGTAAGTCCTCTGTTGCAGGCAATGTTATCATTTGAAGATGTTACATGAAGAAAGTGGCACCATTTCCCCCTATTCAAATCACCTTCAAACTAAGTTTGAAGCTGCAATTTTAAGGTAAAAAGTTGCATAGTGTTGCATGAAGGAGAGGATACCGTATACATTCTTATCCACAGACATCACATTTTTTCCATTCATTTAAACATATTATTGAAGAAAACAAAGCTCAGATTGATCAGCCATGCTCACACTTTGCAGTAGGCTTCTGGTCCAGATGTTCATATTGTCTCTCTGATGATATTTGCAGCTGTGCAGACTGTTCTTTTCCTACACCTTGGATTGCCTGCAAGTCAGGACGCCTCATTATATCGAACTCTGTGAAGAGAACATTTACAGTTTTGAAAGCAGCAAATACATCAGCTGTGCTTTCTTCAAAGAACTTGTCCAGCAGTGTGGAAATAGCAGCTACATCTGGAACATATGGAGAACTGTAACCAGATGCGGTAGGGGATCTTTGATTCATTTACTGTCACTTTAAAAGCACTTCATATTATTAAACAACATAATTGAATACATTTGATTAGGCATTCTCTTACTGACAGTTGATTGATGCGATTATGTTTCTTTGGGTGACTTCAGCTCCACCGACTTGTCAAGGAGACCTGGTTTATGTGGAACAGGGCAACGCCTTTGTCCCCAGCTGCTCTAACCCCAACCCCAGATTCTCCAACCAGGACCTCACAAGCTCCTGTGTCTGCCCAGAGGGTGAGCAACATTTGACTGTATGATTTAGAAGTCTGTTTTTTTATTAGCTGCATGTTAAGTCTGTACTGAACATTGTGCGTAGGTATGGTGGTTAATGACCAGGCAGAGGGTATCCACTGTGTGAAAGAGTCCAACTGCCCCTGTGTGTTCGCTGGAAGAAGCTACAGCACCGGACACATACGCAGCACCAAGTGTCAGTCGTGGTGAGGAGTCGGAAAAAAAAGTTCTTCATGCTAATTAACTGCAAAGTTCTATTTAAAGTATTTCATTTAAATTTGATTCTCGTATCTTTCTTAGTGTGTGTGAGGGTGGGAAGTGGCATTGCTCTGAAAACTTCTGCCCAGCCAGATGTCTCATGGAAGGACAGTTTGTGACAACATTTGACGGCAAACAATATGTTGTCCCTGGTAAATGCACATATGTGTTGTCACAGGTAAATATTCCCCCCCTACACCACAACTGAAAATTAAGAAAAGTGATGTGATATAAATCAATCAATTTGGTGTTTAGACCCCCTGTGATGTCATCATGGTTGAAAGGGGTTGAGGCTGTGTATAAGAACCTCTCCTGGGGTCACTGGTGGTGGTTGAGAGATGCTAAGGATCTGAATGAGATGAGTGGACTCAGCTAAGCTAAAACAGGGTATTGGATATGAAACTGGAGGTGATTGAGGAGAAGGAGGGTCGCAGCCAGGACATGATTGGCTGAGATGGAGGCAAAATCTAATTGGATTACAAAAAACAGCCAGCTGATTTTTAAAAGGCATGGAAGAGAGTGAATGAATGGATTTGTGGAAGTTAAAGGAGAAGTTGGGTTTTTTTCAACCTGGTCCTTATTTCCAGCATATGGTATGTAGATCTACTCACCCATAAAGGTTTGGAGTAACTTGGAGTCCTTCAGACGCTTTTAGATCCACACGCCATCGGCGTATATCCATACAACGCAAGGCTTCGGGGCATCCACAATACAGCCTCTAAATAACACATTATCTGCCATGAAACTCTTTATTTACTATGAATCGCCAGCACTAGTCCCCTGTGAGTCTCGCCAGCCTCGGAGCTAGCGTTAGCTTAGCGAGTTGCTTTGTTTACGTCCTGGGCCGAACTTCTCCTTTAAGCTTCATTTAAAATTAAATGAAGTTAACCATGTAACTTTATCTGATACTGACTATTCTATCTGAATTATTTTCTTCAGGGTCACAACTGGACAATAATTGTTCAGTTTTCGGCAAAAGACATATCCCTGAAAACAGCTGTCCTGCAGCTGTTTCAGGTACAGAGCAGTGACTTCAAAACCAGCTAATCTATGCAATCAAATGTCAAGGAAGAGTGTCACGATTGAATAAAAATATGATTTGGTTGTTCTAGGACACGTACACATTCTCATACAACAGTGTTAAAGTGGGAGAGGAGGAGATTACTGAACTTCATCAGTCTGGTAAGAAGCAAACTAAAACAACTAAATAACTGCAGTAAGCATATCCCAACTCATATACTTTATTCCTTTGTGTTCTAAGCCTTGTAATGCATTTGTAATAATTTGTTTACTCATGTACCTCTGTCACTTACTGATTTCTGTCACCTGTCAGATCACGCCCTGGTTTTCTGGCAGTCCTCCCTGTACATCCAAGTCCAGACATCCTTTGGTATGAACATCCAAGTCCAGCTGTCTCCTGAAATTCAGCTCTACATCACTCTACCCAGAAACCACACTGGTGTTATATCAGGTCAGCACATCTTTCCACTAACGCAAACAATCACCCTTCCTTTGAACAGTCAATGCTAAAACATTTTTAAAAATACTTTCTAAATGCTCTGTGTCATGGAGTTGGATTGTTTTTATTAGAGTCAGTTTGTCTTTAGGTCTTTGTGGCAACAGCAACAATGACACCACCGACGACTTCACCACCAGCAGCGGCATCATCGAGAACTCACCTCAAGCATTCGCTCTGTCCTGGAGTGTTGGCACTTGTGCAGTGAACATACCACCCATCTGCAGCAGCACAGACAGTGGTACAATTGAATTATACAGTACAAATGCAACATGAATTCTGGACAAATCAAGGACAAGAGGTTATTAAAAAATATATATTCCATAATATGTTTTTTGGCAGAAATATTTGCAGATGAAAGGTGTTCTGTTTTGAATGAACCAACTGGGATATTTGCTTCATGCCACAGTCATATCCCAACTGATCATTTCCACACCGTAAGACTTTTACATATCAACAAAATCCTTAAGTTCTCAATAAAATTTTAGCAATGGTTGTTTACATGAAATTGATTATTACTTTCAGGCTTGCATCCAAAGAACCTGTAACTGTGGCAACAATCTGCAGCAGTGTTTATGTGTGGCGCTGGGCAGCTATGCCAAAGCCTGCGCTAGTCTGGGTGTTGCAGTCGGCGACTGGAGGAAAGCGACCAACTGCAGTGAGTTCAGCATCAGTGAATATACAAGCTTTCATCTACAAACCACCACTGGACTTATGAGTGAACTATCAAAGTGATAATTACCTAAAGCTTAAGTTAGATCATTGCTGCTTCCAACAGTTTAACATTGTTCTATTTTGGCAGCACAGACACAATGCAGCAAATGTGAAGTAGCAAAATTGAATTTGTTTCTGTCACTTTAATAAGTACAAAATAAAGTTGTATGTTTAATGCTGATCACGGTGTTGTGTCCCAGCTCTGAATTGTCAAAAGAACCAAGAGTTCTCCTACGACGTGAGGGCCTGCAACCACACATGCCGTTCACTATCTGGCCCTGACCCTCGTTGTTGGTTGGATGATGCTCCTGTGGAGGGGTGTGGTTGTCCTGAAGGAACTCACCTGAACCAAGGACATATATGCACCCCAAAGGCAGAGTGTGTCTGTCACCACTATGGCGGTACAACCCCGCCAGGGCCTGTTGTTATTGACGGAAGACAATGGTGAGTTAAACATGGAAGGGTTTGCAGGGTTTGCAACATCTCCAATTCACAGCTTGCTTTAAGCAGCCTGCCTTAATCTAAAGTGTAGATAACTGTTGCTAAAGTTATTATTTTGCATCTCCTTCCAAAGCCTCTGTGAGAATGGAGAACTGCACTGTTCCAAGGACTGTGGTAAATAAATTGTTTTATATATACATGTATTCTAAACATGAATATGAAATCTGTTGTTTCAACAACATTAATTCAGCTGTACATGAAAATCGAATTTAGGTTATTGGCACCAGGGGTTCACCTCTAACAATTTCTGTTAAAAACAAATCTGCATTAATTTGTGTTATTTATAATAAATGTATAATTGTCTAATTTTCACAACATTTTGTCACATAGCAAACTGTCTGAATTAGAAGTAGGACATTAATATGTTATATGTGTTTGTGTCAGGTTGCAGAAATGGTAAGGTTTGTGTTCACTGCTCAGAGTACCCAGTGAACACAGCTCAGAAAACCTGTGACAGTCTCAGCAAACCACTGGTGAGTCAACAGATTATCTATTCATGTATTTGCATTCTTCATCCTTCATTGGAAAGCAGTATTTATCTAACTAGCTATATAATGTACCCCATCCATTTACTTTTACAAAACTTTTCTTCTGACCGTTTAGCTTGTGTATGTATATTTTTAGTTGTGAAAAGTTGAGCCATAAAATTTTCTCTCTCTGTGATTTCCAGGGGGCCAGTGTGACCTGTGAAAGTGGCTGTCACTGCCCACAGGACCAGTATGAGGATCACCATGGAAACTGTGTTTCTCTAGACAACTGCACCTGTGTGTACAGCGGCAAAATGTTCAGTGCAGGACAGCACGTCAAAACCAATTGTAAAACATGGTAACTCCTGCTTTACTGCTGCTTTACTACTATATTCTTCTACTATCCTACTTTATATAGTATAAAAAAGTTACCTCTGTCTCACAGTGTTTGTGGTCATGGTCAGTGGCACTGCAAAGACGAGCCATGTCCACGGAAGTGTCAAGTGTACGGAAATGGACATTACCAGACATTTGACTCTAAATGGTACCGCTTTAACGGACACTGCCAGTACACATTGGTAGAGGTGAGATCAAACTGGTTTAGCTATGACGTGTGTCTTGTTTTGCATAATACACAAATGATTTATTATTCATTAATATTTAAAATTTGTTAAATATATATTTAATACTTACATCTACTTTGTTTTCACAATTAAACCTTTTAAGAAATCTTAAATCAATAACACAATCAATATACCTCTTGTAAATTGCCCTCATGATGCGTGGTACTTTACTCAATCACCTGATCTACTGTTTAAAATCTGGCATTTTTAAAATATAGGCAATACTTCGTCATATTTCTCCATTTTTATTTCATGCTTATTTTTCATACTCTGCTCTTTTTATGGCAGGATTACTGTGGAAATGAAAATGGCTCCTTCTCTGTCAGAGTGGAAAGTGTACCCTGCTGTGATGAAGCACTGACCTGCTCTCGCTCCATCATCCTGGATCTGCAGGTGGATGATTCGTTCTATGATTCCAATTTCTCTTCACTCAGTCTATTGACCATGTTACTGTGTACTTTCTATTCATTTATCAGCTTACTTTTTCTATCATTATATCATTTACATCAACTTCATCTTTCAGACGATAAATAGATTGTTGGTAACTTACCAGTTAAATAAGACCTATGATGTTTAAAAATGTTTAAATAATCTTGTGCCATGACTTCTGTCATTTCTTATCCCATCCAGGGCACAGTCACCCTGACACTGAGCGATATGAGAGTGACCAGACGTCTCCAAAAAGGCTGGACTCTGCAAGAAGAGTCATTTTACACCACTCACACTGTGGGACTCTACATCATAGTCTCTGTGCCGAGCAGAGGCATAACGCTCATCTGGGACAAACACACCAGGATCACCGTAGAGCTGCATCCAAACTGGAGAGTGAGTGATAAGGATGTAAAGATGGAAGATTAATCTAGTTTTTCTTGTGTCATTACATGCCTCCTCACTGTAAAAACAACAAGAATGTAATGCACATTTTTCTATTATTATGTAATGTTCTTTCAAAATATTTTTTTTATTGAAATTTCAATCATCTCTCCTGTAGAACCGAGTGTGTGGCCTCTGTGGGAATTTTGACTCCAGTGAGATGAATGACCTACAGATAAGTGGCTCAGCAGGTAAATTAATTTTATTTCTTTTATGATGTAGAAATTAATTTGTCATCATTGTTAAAATAAGGAAATAAAAAAAATTAAAATATATATTTTTCAGTGGTGTCTAGTCCGCTGGCCTTTGGCAACAACTGGAAGGCCACCTCACCTCCTTGTTCTGATGTGACCACTGAGATATTCCCATGTGAACGCAACTCCTACTGCTCAGCTTGGGCACAGCGGCGCTGTATGATCATTACAGCAGACACCTTCAAAGATTGCCATCTAAAAGTTTGTATATTTATATATTTAGTATGACATCAACATTCATGGTGATTCACACATTCGAGATCCCAGTCTGTGCAGTAGTGACCAGGGAATGAGGGTATAGTCAGATTGTTAATGAGCTAATTACAGATAAGAGTTAACAGTCAACACTATTATTTTGCAATAATTCTCCTCTGTAGCTATTTTACGGACAGAGACAGATTTCTGAGCACCTAAACATGTCACCTCAAGCCCATATTCTGCTGGATAATCTACCCTCCCCAGGTGGACCCAGAGCCCTACTACCACGCCTGTGTGCAGGAGTCCTGCTCCTGTGAGTTTGAGGGGAAGTTTCTGGGCTTCTGCACAGCTGTGGCAGCATACGCAGAGGCCTGCAGTGAGCAGGACGTGTGTGTCAAATGGAGGACACCTGATTTGTGCCGTAAGACCCTTTTTTTCTCTGTATAACATAGGTTTTTCTTCACACTCAAATATGACATTAATGAGATAGTAGGCGAAGAATTATCAGGAATGTGACAGATTGGACATTTCAGGAGACAACATCCACGTTTCATTTCACAACTTAAAATTCTACATACTTTACACACAAAGAACTGTGAGGAAACATGTCAGGTCAGTTAACCAGTGTAGCCAGAAATCTGATCAAAGATGTGCATATTTTTTAATAATCTACCTGTGATAACTTCCCTCTTAGCGGTCTACTGTGACTACTACAATGAGCAGGGCCAGTGTAGCTGGCACTATGAAGCCTGTGGTGAGGCGCTCAGCTGCGGCAAAGGCCGCTATTTCACCCACAAACTGGAAGGTAAACAGGCTTTCTGGGTTGTATTCAAATATTACAGCTAAACTTGATTTGTCCGCAGAATCTGGAAATTTAAATAATGATTTAATGTTGATTAACACAAACATAAACTTAAAAATTAAACGTTGTGTTTGTCTTTGTTAAAGGCTGTTACCCCAGATGTCCAGAAGATGCACCGTTCTATGATGAAAATACTGGTGAATGCACGAAATTGAGGAACTGCACATGTTTTTTCAATGACACTATCATTCAGCCAGGGGCAGTCGTGATGATCGAGTCTATTAAGTGGTAAGATGAGTAATATGTCTTCATATTAACACTGTAATATAGGTTAACCTATTATGACACATTAATCATCAGGTTCACAACATATTTTTTACTTCTGTATTATTCTTATCAGCCCCTGTGACAATGGAACAATTACCTGTTGTAAGTATGAATAATATTTACTAATTGATGTGTCAATTAATAAATGTGTAAGAAATATGGAAAATATGTTTCGGTGTTTTAGATTAGAGATTTTACAGAACCTGCTTTAAAAACACCAAAGCTTACTACCACCTCTGCCCCAACAGCACCTTCAACCACAACAATATCACCCAGCACCTCTAGTACAAGTACAACTGCTGCAACTACAATGGAAACAACTGTGCCTTTCACAACACCAACAACTACCACTGCCTCAACTACCACTGAAACATGGACAACAACTTCATCAACCACCCCTACACCAACTACAACCACTTCAACAACATTGACAGCCATTACCAATGTCTCCACTATCACAGAAACATTGACTACATCAACCACCCCTACACAAACTACAACTGCCTCAACTACTACTGAAACATGGAATACAACGTCATCAACTACCCCTACACTAACTACAACTGCCCCAACTACCTATGAAACATGGACAACAACGTCATCAACCACCCCTATGCTAACTACAACTGCCCCAACTGCTAATGAAACATGGACAACAACGTCATCAACCACCTCTACACCAACTACAACTGCCCCAACTACTACTGAAACATGGACAACAACGTCATCAACCACCTCTACACCAACTACAACTGCCCCAACTACTACTGAAACATGGACAACAACGTCATCAACCACCCCTACACCAACTACAAYTGCCCCAACTACCAATGAAACATGGAAAACAACCTCATCAACCACCCCTACACCAACTACAACTGCCCCAACTACCTATGAAACATGGAATACAACGTCATCAACCACCCCTACGCTAACTACAACTGCCCCAACTGCTAATGAAACATGGACAACAACGTCATCAACCACTCCTATGCCAACTACAACTGTCCCAACTACCAATGAAACATGGAAAACAACATCATCAACCAC